AGGCTCCAGGTTCTCGGGCGTTTCCGTGCTCGGCGGTCTTCCGACCTCGGGATACGTTCCAACGGCCGCGCCTCGCCGAGAACGTTCTGGGGATGCCCAGGTCGTCCCGAAAGGCCGCCCGCGGCCCGAGTTATGACCCGAAAGCTGAACTCGGCGGCTAGACAGGGGATAAGTGCGATGGAGGAGGTCTTCTCAGAGGGCGGCGGGACTTCTCAGAATCCCTCGCGCCTTCCGAGATGTGGTGTTTTATGTCTTTCTGTCGTGTGCGCTGCGTGACTGGGCGCCAGGTGTAAGCCCGGAAATCCTAGCCACCACACGGGGCGCTCCCCGCCGGGCACTGGCCGCAACACTGGACCTGTCCAATCTCTGGAGGAGGCAAGCACGCCCCCGTTGATGCTGACGATGACGATGACGATGACGATGGCGATTCTTTTATTTGACGATGACGATGGCGGTGACGATGACGATGACGTCATCGTCATCGTCACCCTCCTGAGTGCAAGCGATGTGTGGGGAGCCTGAACGGTCGTGGAGCGGGAGAGCGCGATCTGGGCTTACTACTGTGCTCCCCTGTCTCCTCCGCCTCCTTCTCCTCCATGCGAGGCGCGGTCTCATCGCTCTGTCTGGCGCCTGGCTGCCACAAATATGTACGATTGGGAGATCCGTGAACCACCTGGTTCGGAACATGCCTCATCACCGCGCGAATAGGAAGAGGAGGATGATGATGGCGAGGAGGAAGACGAAGATTACGAGGGGAACGGGGAATGATCGGAGGAAGAGAGGGCGCAAAGACGACGAGGAGGATTATATGGACACCAACCGTATCGGCAGCTGGGCAATTAATCTGCTTCATCACCATTCCCCTCCCCATGCACATTGCGGCGAGGTTCCCGATTGAGCTTCCAGCTCCTCTGAATATTGGCGGGGCGGGCCCTGTTCTCCTCGTCTGCCTACTCCTCCTGCCCCTGCTTGCTGTTACAGCGCGACGTCTTCCTCCTGTCCGTCTACGCCAACACATTCCTCATCCGTCCTCCTCCTCCTCCTACTCCTCTTCCTCCTCCTCTTCCTCATCATCGCTAATTATCGCCATCGCCATCATCATGATCATCGTCGTGGGCATCATTATCATCACCACCACCACCGTCACCATCATCGTCATCATCATCATCACCATCATCAGGATCAGCATCAGCATCAGCATCATCACCAGGACCACCATTATCACCACCACAATCATCATCAGCATCATCATCACACTCGTCATCATCATAATCATCGTCATCACCGCCATCATCATCATCACCACCACCATCAGCATCGCCATCGTCATCGTCATCGTCATCATCTTCATCATCAGCAGTAGCGAGACCACCAACAGCAACAACATCGTCAACCTCATGCCTCCCCCCCTCCGCCTGCTAGGGGCGGCCCTGGAGGCGCTGCCAGGGGGGGGGGGCAGCCCAAATCCAAGACATCCGCGCGAAGCTCCGAAAGGTTTTGCCTGTGCAGTTGTGTTCCCTTCGAGCCTCCATCTCCTCCTCCTCTTCCTCCACCTCCTCCTCGTCCTCCTCCTCCTCCTCCGTCAGGCAGAGGAGGAAGAGGACCCCCATTTCGGCGGCTTCGAAGGGTGTGGATTGCAACCAACACCCTGGGTTGAACCTCGATTGAGTTCTCCGCCGCGCCCCGAGGATGCCCGACAAAGACATTGTCAAGCCCCCCCCAGGCCCCGACGGCGCCGATCACACACCACACACCAGCGTAACCATACCCTTTCAGGGGAACAACTTATCCTGCGGCGTACCCAACCCTTTCTACACAAGTGACAACTGCATTCATGATCACTCAATACCGAAAAACATTTCGGCGCCATGGTATAGTGGTGATCTGCGTAGGACGTACCTCCGCTGAGCCTCCCAGGAGCCCATGCGCGCCAGGTGAGCCAAGCGCGCCAGGCGCGCCAGGTGCGCCAAGTGCGCCAGGTGCGCCACGTGCGCCAGCTGCGCCAGGTGCGCCAGGTGCGCCAGGCGCGCCGGGCGCGCCAGGTGCGCCAGGTGCGCCCAACGCGCCAGGTGCGCCAAGTGTGCGCCAGGTGTGCGCCTGGTGTGCCAGGTGCGCCCAGCGCGCCAGGTGCGCCAGATGCGCCAGGTACGCCAGGTGCGCGCCAGGTGCGCCAGGTGCGTCAGGTGCGCCAGGTGCGCCATGCGCGCCAGGTGCGCCAGGCGCGCCAAGTGAGCCAGGTGTGCGCCAGGTGTGCGCCAGGTGCGCCTAGCGCGCCAGGTGCGCCAGGTGCGCCAGGTGTGCCAGGTGCGCCAGGCGCGCCAGATGCGCAAGGTGCGCCAAGTGTGCGCCAGGTGCGCGCCAGGCGCGCCAGTGCGCCAGTTGCGCCAGGCGCGCTAGTTGCGCCATGCGCGCCAGGTGCGCCAGGTGCGCCAGGTGTGCCAGGTGCGCCAGGTGCGCCAGGTGCGCCCAGCGCGCCATGTGCACCACGTGCGCGCCAGGTGCTCCCAGCGCGCCAGGTGCGCCAGGTGCGCCCAGCGCGTCAGGTGCGCGCCAGGTGCGCGCCAGGTGCGCGCCAGGCGCGCGCCAGGTGCGCCAATTGCGCCAGGTGTGCGCCACGTGTGCGCCAGGTGCGCCAGGTGCCCCATGTGTGCCAGGTGCGCCAATTGCGTCAGGCGCGCCAAGTGAGCCGTGCGTCATTGTGCGCCAGGTGCGACAGGTGCGCCAGGTGTGCGACAGGCGCGCCAGGTGCGCCAGGTCTGCGCTAGGTGTGGCAGGTGCGCCAGGTGCGCCCAACGCGCCAGGTGCGCCAGGTGCGCCAGATGCACCAGGTGTGCCAGGTGTGCGCCAGGTGCGCGCCAGGTGCGTCAGGTGCGCCAGGTGCGACAGGCGCGCCAGGTGCGCCAGGTCTGCGCTAGGTGTGGCAGGTGCGCCGAGCGCGCCAGGTGCGCCAGGTGCGCGCCAGGTGCGCCAGGTGCGGCAGGTGCGACAGGTGCGCCAGGTGCGCCAGGTGCGTCAGGTGCGCCAGGTGCGCGCCAGGTGCGCCCAGCGCGTCAGGTGCGTCAGGTGCGCCCAGCGCGCCAGGTGCGCGCCAGGTGCGCGCCAGGTGCGCCAAAGGGAAGCCTCAAAGTGGTCTGCGTAAGGCGTACCTCCGCTGGGCCTCCCAGGAACCCACGACAGTGGCGACAGTTGCGCAGATCGCAGCCCACCAGGGGACAGGGAGGCCTCAAAATGGCCTGAGTAAGACGTGCCTCCGCTGGGCCTCCCAGGAGCCCACGGGAATCGCGACAGCTGCGCAGATCGCAGCCCCCCCAGGGGACAGGGAGGCCTCAAAGTGATCTGCGTAAGAAGCACCTTCGCTGGGCCTCCCAGGACCCTGCGAAAGTGGCGACAGTTGCGCTGATCGCAGCCCCGCAGGGAACAAGGGGGCTTCAATGTGGTCTGCGTAGGACGTACCTCCGCTGGGCCTCCCAGGAGCCCACGAAAGTGACGACAGTTGCGCTGATCGCAGCCCCGCAGGGGACAGGGAGGCCTCAAAGTGATCTGCGTAGGACGTACCTCCGCTGGGCCTCCCAGGAACCCACGAAAGTGGCGACAGTTGCGCAGATCGCAGTCCCGCAGGGGACAGGGAGGCCTCAAAGTGGTCTGAGAAAGACGTACCTCCGCTGGGCCTCCCAGGAACCCACGAAAGTGGCGACAATTGCGCAGATCGCAGCCCCGCAGGGGACAGGGAGGCCTCAAAGTGATCTGCGTTGGACGTGACAGTTGCGCAGATCGCAACCCCGCAGGGGACAGGGAGGCCTCAAAATGGTCTGCGTATGACGTACCTCTGCTGGGCCTCCCAGGAACCCACGAAAGTGGCGACAGTTGCGCAGATCGCAGCCCCGCAGGGGACAGGGAGGCCTCAAAGTGATCTGCGTAGGACGTACCTCCGCTGGGCCTCCCAGGAACCTACGAAAGTGGCGACAGTTGCGCAGATCGCAGCCCCGCAGGGGACAGGGAGGCCTCAAAGTGATCTGTGTAGGACGTGACAGTTGCGCAGATCGCAGCTCCGCAGGGGACAGGGAGGCCTCAAAGTGATCTGCGTAGGACGTACCTCTGCTGGGCCTCCCAGGAACCCACGAAAGTGGCGACAGTTGCGCAGATCGCAGCCCCCCAAGGGGACAGGGAGGACTCAAAGTGATCTGCGTAGGACGTACCTCCTCCCAGGAACCCACGAAAGTGGTGACAGTTGCGCAGATCGCAGCCCCGCAGGTGACAGGGAGGCCTCAAAGTGATCTGCGTAGGACGTACCTCCGCTGGGCCTCCCAGGAACCCACGAAAGTGGCGACAGTTGCGCAGATCGCAGCCCCCCCAGGGGACAAGGAGGCCTCAAAATGATCTGCGTAGGACGTACCTCCGCTGGGCCTCCCAGGAACCCACGAAAGTGGCGACAGTTGCGCAGATCGCAGCCCCGCAGGGGACAGGGAAGCCTCAAAGTGGTCTGCGTAGGACGTGCCTCCGCTGGGCCTCCCAGGAACCCACGAAAGTGGCGACAGTTGCGCAGATCGCAGCCCCGCAGGGGACAGCCAGGAGCCCACGGAAGTGGCGACACTTGCGCAGATCGCAGCCCCGCAGGGCACCGCGAACACAGGAGAGAAGGAGGAGGAGAGGGCGGAAGGTGGATACCACAGTGCTCTATTCAAAACGAGTACCCAACACAAGGAGGGTTGGGAAAAACTGCATAAACATGAATCCCTGAAGGTCCGCCAAAATTCAATGTTCATGCCGATTCTTGTTCTTCGACCTCCTCGCCATGGCTCGGACGTCCTTTCCGCGTGCATTTCTCGGTTTCGTGCGTGCTCTTTTCCTGATCCAGGATGCTCCTCACTGATCCCCGCCGAGAAAAAGTGCACACGTCCGAGCGATGCCACGCCTCTGTGGTCGCCGACCGACC